TTAATTAGAGTTAAAGGTGATATATATATATTAGGCATAGTCTAGACCGACAGTTCGGGTGCGAGATTTATTTGCTTTGCTGCGTGAGGTGAGTATTTTTACTATACTTACATGTGTGGTAATTTATGTATGATCGAAGGGTCTAATTCGTGTTATTGACCGGATGGTCTTATTCGTATTATTGACCGGAGGGTCTTATTTTCTTATGCTGGGATATGTGTTATTACGCATTCTGTCTTTCTGATTCATGTTGTTATATTATTATGTGTATATATTGAGTTATGTACGGAGGGTTCATACCAATACGTGAGACCACAGGGTCTTCATTGAGACATATGATCGGAGGGGCCTTGTCGAGATATAGTCAAGAGAGGCCAATTACTTGTGTATGTGGTGTTTTGGGAAACTCACTAAGCTTCGTGCTTAAAGGGTTGATGTAAATGTGTTTCAGATAAATCTTAGGATCGCAGGAAGCTGCTGGCATGATTGTACACTCATCTGCTAATGGGGATATTTGTGGATTCTGAGGTATTCTGACTTTGTTTTATGATGTTATGTAATTTACAATTATATTTGACATGAGATGGTGTTAACAACTATGTTTTGGGAATCTTAAAAATGAAAAAAAAATGTTTTAAAAAATTTGAGTGTTACATGTTGACATCAAGAAGAATAAGAACTAGGTTGGGAGATGATAACTAAACATAAGGCAATAAGCCTTTTAACGAGTTTTTTCCCACATTAAGTAGTATTCATCTTTTAAAGTTGGATGTTAAATTAGCAAATTTCTAACAAATTTATTAGAGCTTAAATTTATAACTGTTAGAGGCAATTCCGAATTCTCGATAATCGATATGTCTTCATTTAAAAGATTGTTGCTAAAATCGACAATCTCATGGTTTCCAAAATATGATGGCAATAACCTGCTAGCTCATTTGATGACATATTCAAAGTACTCAAATCCTTATAGTTGATTTTCGGAGTCGAGCCTGCAATTAAACACATAGTAGGCTCAAAAGCTAATTACACACATTCAAGCAAGTGAATTTGATATTCCAAAATATGAAATCAACAATTAGGCATATCATTTGATGAACCTTATAGTTGATTTTTGGAGTCGAACCTGCAACTAAACACATAGTAGGCTCAAAAGCTAATTACACACATTCAAGCAAGTGAATTTGATATTCCAAAATATGAAATCAACAATTAGGCATATCATTTGATGAAGGTGAAGATCTTTACCTAAAAACCCATTTCGGATAAGATCGAGTTCATTTAGAGGAACCATTGTCTCGAGCTACATTCTATTTTTTAAAACATTCCCAAAACCAATTCCAAAGTTCAAATAACAAAATTTTCAGTTCCATCCAGGTCTAAAACCCAAAAACCAATTCCTAATACCAATTTTCAGTTCCAACCAGTTCTCCATAGTCCATACCCACTTTATCTGGTCTGATACCCAGAACCAAACCTGTAGGGATTTTTTTATACTGATCCGTTTCTCGAATCTTATAATCCTTTAATATAGGTTTCAGGTTCCCGGGTGTATGTCCATTCGAGTTGGGTCCAGAGACACTTTCATCCCTATTATATACTCGCTTGATGTTGAGTGGTTGTACTTCATATGTAAAAAATTGTACCAAAATGTGTTTGTCTGTTTTAATGAGTTTTGTATTTTTTTTAATATTTTGTGAATTAGTTGGTATGATTATAATTAGCTTGCGTTTATTATAAAATAAAAAAACTGAATGAGTTTGTAGGGTTGAGAACGATGGGCTTCTAGTGTTTTAGGATGAGAGTGATATAAGTGAGAATATAGAGAAAAAAAAAAAAGCTTATATATCAAGTGGGTCAAAAGGAGTAGGAAATATAGATACCCTCCCGCCTTAGCTTCAAGAACCATTAGGGACGGACAAAATAGATATTGTATATGGCCTAATTTTTTTAAATATTATTATTATTATTATTATTATTATTATTATTATTATTATTATTATATATATATATATATATATATATATATATATATATATATATATATATAAGGGATAATGACTTGAAAGGGTAACGAACTTTCGACTTTGTTCACATTTAGTCACTAAACTTTTTTTCGTTATCTATTTGCCATTGAACTATTGAAACTGTTCACATTTTACCCTTATGACCGGCTGTTACCGGTCATAAGGGTAAAATGTGAACAGTTTCAATAGTTTAGTGGCAAATAGATAACGAAAAAAAGTTTAGTGACTAAATGTGAACAAAATCGAAAGTTCGTTTCCGTCTAAAAAGTTCAATGGCTAAATGTTAACAAACTTCCTATTGTATTATGTTTTAGCAAATTATTTATTTTTGTTTAATTGTAGCAACATTTGTTGATAAAGAAATCTATGAAATAAAAAAACAAAATGTAACATCCGGATTTCTAGGTATCAAATTTTAAGTATTTTTCTTTTGGGTTAAGAAGAGAGACTCGACGAGTTGACACCTCAACTCGTCGAGTAAGTTGCGACTGATGACTCAGATTAATGAATGGACTCGACGAGTCGGTGAGACGACTCGACGAGTCCGCGTTGTTGGCAGAAACCTTATTTAAAGGCATTTATGGCCTTCAATTGTGACTACCTTTCCCATAAGTGAGAACCTTAGCGAGCTTGAGTGTGTAGAGTGAGAAGAAGAGCTATCTTGAGCTTTTTGGTGTGATTTTGCAAGAAAGGAGAAGAGTTCCAGCAAGAGGGACCAAGGAAGGTTATTGTAACTACGTATTCATGTGATAATACTCTAACCCCTTACTATGAATTATGAGTTCAGACGATGTTGTAACTACGTATTCATGGGATGTTACAAATTCTGCATGCCAAACCAATGGTCATAATTCACATCAGTGAGAATGGTTCATTTTTTTTGTAAAACCAAAATCAGATTGGAAATTTTGATTTTTTATTTTGGAAAATGTCAAACCATTGGTTTTTTATTTCGGTTTTGGTTTTTTGTTTTTTTAAATGTATTTTCATGGTTTTTTTATTTCATGGATTTCTTCATCAACAAATGTTGCTACAATTTAACAAAAATAAATAATTTACTAAAACATAATACAAGAGAAAGTTTGTTCACATTTAGTCATTAAACTTTTTAGAGGGAAATGAACTTTCGATTTTGTTCATATTTACTCACTAAACTTTTTTTCGTTATCTATTTGCCACTAAACTATTGAAACTGTTCACATTTTACCCTTATGACCGGTAACAGCCGGTCATAAGGGTAAAATGTGAACAGTTTCAATAGTTCAATGGCAAATAGATAACGAAAAAAAGTTTAGTGACTAAATGTGAAAAAAATCAAAAGTTTGTTACCCTTTCAAGTCATTATCCCTATATATAACTTATCATAACGATAATGACCATATTTTTACTCCTCCAATGCATTTGAGGATATTTATATCCTTAGGACCGATAATGTGAACAACCAAACCCTCATATTTTTTCCTCCATTGATTATAATTGAATTAGATGAACATGATGAAGATTAATTTTTTTTCTTTAAAATGAAGTTTTCCAATAGCTTATCTTTTAGCATATTTTTCTAATTTGTACCTAACCTTTATTTTTTTTATTTTTTTAACAACATATTATTAAGCCATACTTTAGCATGCAAGGTGCGAATAGCCAAACTACTCAAAAAGGAGCTCATATTTGTGATTGAGCTATACTTTAGCATGGGTAAACTCATATTTGTTATTGAGCTATACTTTATTTGTGATTGAGCTATACTCAAGCATGCAATGTGCGAATAGCCAAGCTACTTTTACTAAAAGGAAACTCATATTTGTGACTTTATATTATTAAATATTGTAGTGCTTATGAACCTTACAACACCGATCAAATAGTAAAAACAACCACCTCTAAAAACATTCTTTATATCCTATTTTTCATTTTCAAAATACAAAGCAAAATTAAACAACAAAATAGATCATTAATTGGTGATAACTAAGGGGATGTTTGGGATCGTTCATTTGGAATGCCTATTAACTTATTGTCATTTTGACATGAGTAAGGATACTAGGATAGGATAGAAGGATATCGGTTTCCTATCCTACAATTCATTTAATTTTTAATTTTAAAATAAATACAAATTAATTAAAATCATATAAAATAATTCACAAAATACAATACTTGTACAAAATAAACAAAAGATTAACTAGTTTGATACTAATCTTATTAAATTGTACACGTGTGTAAAAAGAACCTTCCACTAATAAAACGAACTACTATATATTGATGAAATTATTTATATAATATAAATGATGAAATTATTTATATAAATCATGAGAAGGTTGAGGTTTTTGTTATAACCGATATAAGACCTCTTGTGGACGAGTCTAAAAGCAAACGGGTGTCTCAGTTATATAGGGGGAGGAGTATAGTCGATGTTGTATGATCCTAGCGATGTGGGATGGCGGAGTGATTCTGGAAAACAAAAATAATCTGAAAAACAAAAACCAACGCTAGAAGTTTCTTTGTCCGACTACTTAACCACTAAAATCAAGCTTATGTTTTTGGTTTTTTCTTTCGGAACACACACTCACACACACATTCCTTATCCCGTCCAACAACTCCCCCACTATGACGCCCTTTCTTCCACGTACACTTAATCTTCTTCACCATTTATATAAGACAAAACTGCATTAATGGTCCTTGTGGTCAGCTGAAAATTACCATTTTGGTCTAAAAAAGTTCGGACTAGTACCAGAGGTCCAAACTTTTCATTTTGTTGCGAGTTTGGTCCAGTTTGCTTTAAACTTTTTCATAATGACTATTTTTCCCTTATTATTTTTTTCTTTTTTCAATTTTTTTTCTTATTTGAATACTTTTTTATTAAAAGAAAAACTAAAAAAGAAAATTTGCATTTTCTATTTATTTTTATTAAAAAAAAATTGAAATCTCTCTCTCTCTCTCTCTCTCTCTCTCCACCCAGACACCTCCTCCGATCTGCCTTACTCCCTATTGTCTTGTGATAAACCCCAACACTCTCACCACCCCAACACTCTCAGCACCGCCTATCGCCTTCCTCCGGTCATAGAGTTGTGCCACCAGAAAATCACCAGGGACCGTCGGAACATCACCGCTACCACCACCCATTTACCCTCTTACCATCGTTGATCAACCCACTAACCACAACCCTTTCCCTCCTCCTTCCCTTTGGTTAAACCCGTCGAAACAGGAAGACGAAATCAGCGGAGCTGCCATCTCTACCCACCGCCACCGTCTTCACCTTCTTGTTTCACCACTGTTGATGAAAATCCGACCACCACTTTATACCCCCTCCTCTCGACTGAAAAATCACCACCAAACACCATTCCTATTCGATTTCTCCACTGATTTCGACCAGCACCCAACCAAAAACGAGGCCGAAGGAACCTCCGACCACCATAGCAGGTAGCCGTTGTTGTGGGACACCGCCGCCAATAGCTGTTGTTTCCGCCGACCCTCTTCAACCAGTCTCGTCACCCCTTGCGACCTGTGTAAGTTCGATTCTCCATCGTGAGAGGATTGTTTTCCTATTTGATCGATCAAGAGGATCGATTACAGTCGTTCCTTAACTGCAATCGTAATTTTGTCGAAAAATGGCGTTGTCATCTTCCTCTGTCTCGTCGTTTTTATGTTTTGTTCATCTTGAAATTGGCTCGTGCCTCCCTCCTTATGGATCTGTAACACCCATCCATATCATCATCGGAATCGAAGGGTTTTTTGAGGAAGATGGTCGCCTGAGAATATGACTTGAAGATGGTGTTGTTCACCTAAACTCCAATGAAGGCGAGAAGATGGTGAGTTATTTGGATCTTGAGAGTTGCAAGCTGCAGGTTTTTGGGGTTTCGGAGGTGGAAGCCTCTTCGCCAGAAGCCTCCATCATCGATGGTGGTGGTGGTGAAGGGGATGGGTTTTTTGAAAATATGATGAAGCATATGCTTTTGTGTGTGTGTGTGTGTGAGATAGAGAGAGAATATTTTCCTTTTTTTAATTTCTATAATAAAAAATTGGAAAAGAGAAAATGCAAAGGGCACAATCGTCATTATAAAAAAAAATTAAAGCAAACTGGACCAAACTCGCAACAAAATGAAAAGTTTGGATCTCTGATGCTAGTCCAAACTTTTTTGGAGCAAAATAGCAATTTGCAGCTAACCACATGGACCATTTGTGCAGTTTTGTCTTTATATAACCCTCCCCTACCTCCATTCTTCTATATACCAACACCTCACACTTGATATCACTCCTCGCATCACTTACCGTTGTTGTCAGCTCCGCATCTCAGCACCACCGTCGCACCATTATTACACTACCATCACCAAGACGCTCCCCCATCAACGTCCTCATCCTCCTCCTCCCCTCCCCCCCCCCCCTCCCTCTTAATCGGATACCATTGCAAGCTATCACCCATACTCAGCTTAATCTTCGGCCACCTGGGCACCCTCCTTGAACATCGGTGCAATGAGAAACCCTAACCACCACATTCTTCAAAGTCATGAATAAGAGACCATCGTAAGTTGGTATTTTTCGATTGTTTGTGCTTTTTGTTCTCTGGGTGTTATTCTTCTCACGTTGGTTTCTTCTTTCTTGATTTGTCATATTTGTTTCATTGATTGGCCATTTATTGAATTGCTAGTGTTTTTTGTTGATTGAATTTAAGTTTTTTCTTTGTTCGATCAATCAAGTAAGTTGTTTTGGGTTCTTCGATGACATCAACGCCACCATCCCCAGCTTTTGTTCCAGTCATCACTCTATACTCTCCAACTAAGATTTCACATAAGCTTTCAATCACTTTCTTTCTCTCTCTTATGTTGATCTGTTTCAATCACCATCATGCACCACTTCAAGCTTGATGCAGCATTGTTTTGCTCTTCTATACATCATGCTTTCTCTATTCTTTGGCTTTTTTAGGTATAGTCACTCATCATTTGTGCCTTCTCTCCCAATGAGGCGTACATCATCTCTTGAATTTTAATTCTATATTGCATCTGATTGTTTAATTAGGGCTAACACTTCATATGATTGTTTTCTACAAGAATGGTAACTAGTGGTTGACTAACAATTGTAACAATAGTTTTTTGTAATTTCTTATGTAGATTCAAGACTTTTCCCTCCTCTTAAAGCTAAAGGTTGGAAAATGAGTTTGCCCACCTTCATAACTAGATTGATAAAGATGTCACTATTATTCAATTTCATTAAGATGTTTGTCTTCAACCCACAACCCCACTTAAATTTGTTTAATAAATGCTAAATAATATTGATTTTGCTAGACTTTGAAAGGAAGTTGAACCATTTGCCAAGCATTAAGACCAATAATTGCCACAGAAAGAAAAGTTTTTATTGATAAAAAGCAACTGGAAACATTAGACAATATAAAGTATTTGATAAGGTAGAAAATATATTTTCTTGCTATTAATCACTCTTTGATGGCCAATACCATCAGCAAATTAAGTTAAATTTTATAATTTGAAATGTATTCAGGTAATTTTTTTGCTCTATGATCTTTTGATTTTTTTTGTAATGGGAGTGAAACTTTGTGTATTCAGATAACAAAAATATGACAAAGGGTAAAAATATAGCATGTGTGTAACTACAACTATAATCATATGTTTTTTGATGTGTGTGTATATTTGTTATTTTTATCCACTAGGTGGTCATACAAGTCGATTGAGTTTGTCATGCATTTGTATAGTGTGTACGTAATGATGATTACGTCTTCATATAGTCCTTAGAGGTTTTTCTTGTGGATGACAAATAATGGATCTATGCTTCACAAAGGTTTAAAAGTTGGTTGCTATTTTACGGCATCAGCATCTTGCAAAGCTTGGAGTCCTAATTTGTATACTTACCTAGACCAAAGTGAAACATTGAATAGGGATTAAGAATGAAAAAAAAAAAAAAAAAAAAAAAAAAAAAACTTTTTTGGACCTAAACCAAACAAAATCAACAACCAGCTAAATAAATGTTCTCTTTTTTTAAATCTTTATTTGTGATTGAATTAACCGGCTGCTACTCTTTGTAACTTGCTGAAATTGGCTTTTATTTGTTTTATTATTGTTTGTCACGAACTCACGGTTCAAAAAAAAAACTATAACTAAATATAATAATTTGAATCTATTGTGTATCTTGCGATTTTTTTAAATGAATTTTTCTTTCTATAACTCTCTAGTTGACAATACATCCATATTATCAACGTTTTGTGAGTTTTCAATTTAATTGTCCGAGTGATTTTTGGATAAAATAAGTAGTTTATTTTCATTTAAAATAATAAGTCTTTCAAAAATACCTAAAGTTTAGAATTTACCAATATTATTTATAATTTTTTTATTTTACGTATTTATTATATTACTTTTTAGATCAATTTGGAAATCAATTAACACTGGAAACACGGGCTCACAATTGCAATCATCAATTATAAATTGCTAGGTTTCAAACTTTTAATTTGATACATATATTACTTATTACAATATTATAAATAAATAACCATATAAATAAAAATAAATAATGTTGACAAACATTTTTTATAACATCGATCCAATCTAACAACCTATCTTTTCAAAAACTATTAATCCAAAAATAATAAAACAACTAACGAGGCATTAACTAATATATGAGTATTTCTTTTGAATTTAATGGTTGTATATTTTTATTTCAACATAATTCAACCGTTCAAATAAACATATCACCTATTTAAAATAACTATAAACTTGATCATAAACTAACCAAATCAACAATACACTTTTAATTGTAACTTAAATATATCATGGATTAAATTTACTGTAAATAACAATAAATTTCTATTTTTAGCACAAAACATTTATGTTGTCTATTAATATACTTCAATGGTAAGTATTTATCAATGGTTTATTGCTCTTAGTAATACAAATGTAACTGGAATGAAACTAATTGTCGCTTGCTACAATACAATGGTACCCCTTCCCCTTTAAATCACCTTTGGCCAAACAGTATTAGAAATTGACAAATAGTTGTTCCTCATCTGTTGGGGTTCAAGTAAAAATATATTAATTTAGTAGTAAGTAGTGTATGCATGTGTAGGCTGTTCTAAGATTTAAAAAAATAGCAGCAATACAATTAATTAACAAAAGAAAAAGATTGATCAATCATGTGTTCTTACACATTTGTAAATAATCCTAACTATTCATTTTTATTTCTTACCCATTTTGTATTTGCAATAACTTTTGTTGATAACTGTTTTGATGCAGTAAGCTATTTGCACAAAAGAGCTAATCGCCTCTAAAAACTGATTAATGAAAAAATTATTCGCACCTGTCGCTTGGCGCACGTAAACGGCTAGTGAGTGTGTCTATATATATATATATATATATATATATATATATATATATATATATATATATATATATATATATATATATATATATATACTAGCCGTCTACCCGCACAAAGCGGCGGACGGCGAATAATTTGATCTCTTTAGAGTTCAAACCATTTTGCGTTCACTTCGAGAAATGAATATTAAATGACATCTATTTTTCAAGAGCATTACCATGCCATATTAAGGGGGTGTTTGGCTAAGCTCTTTTTAAAACAACTTTTTAGGTTCCACATCACTATAAGTTAAAAAAGTGTTTGGATTAAAATAATTTATTCCGGTGAGGAACCTCTAATACGTCATTTTTTCATAAGTTACCCTACACTTACTTATTAACTTATAAGCTAATAAACTAATAAACAATAAGTTTTTTTTGCCAAACACCCCCTAAATGGTTATTACTTCCATTTATACATACCTAAACCACTTGTACTGTTTATCGTCCTCTTTTTTTTTTCTTTTTTTTTTTCGTTTTCCTTAATTCCTTTATTAATTTAATGTCCTACTAAGTAAAATGCTAAAATATATAAATAATAGTTTATAAAAATAGACCTTTAGAATATCAGGTGTTGTGATTCAAAAGTCGATAAATAGGCTTTTGAGAAGGCCAAAATACTCAGGTGTCAACTTGTTCACTTTGATTTTAAACCAAGTTTGGTCACAAATTAAAACATTTTCAACGATGGTATGTAATTCAAGGATTCATATTAATTTAGGTTCTCGAAACCTTAAAATATTGAACAAAATCTATATAGAACCTTATAATAAGGACAATAATCATCGTAATCAGGAAGTTCATGTGATGAAACTTGATATGATAAGGACCAATGATGAAAAAGGTTTCATTTTTAGACTAAACAAGATGAAAAATATACAAACTACCTTAATCATATCAAATCTTGTGTTTAACCGTTCTTTATTGCAAAAGTAAGATGTCAAAATATACAAACTAATGATAATACAATGCTCTAATTGGCCCTCTTAGTTGAGTTCTTTGAACCTGCAAAGCCAACACATTAAAGAAACATAGTAAAAACCTTTTTAGGAACAAACCTAATATAATAAAGCCTTCACCCAATATATTTATAAGATAAAAATACAAAAAGTTAAAAATGATGAAATCAATTACAAGTAAGGATTAAAATAAAAATTTGTTAAAAAAGAGCTATCCGCAAGAGAGATATTTGAATCAACATGTATTTTCTGATGGTTTCAAATTTTGAATTATCCGAAATTCAGAGAAGGAGATAGAATTTGTTGAGAAATATAAGGATTCAAATTTTGAATTATCCGAACCCATTATTTGGTTTCTAAAAAACTCAAATCTAAACAAATGGTTTCTATTTTGGTTTTGATTTTTCAGTTCAATTTTGTCATTTTTTCGGTTCACCGGTTTGATTTTGCTCACACCTTATATATATATATATATATATATATATATATATATATATATATATATATCTGTGAAGTGTGAAAGGCATATGGGGATATTTATTGAGTTTGTGTTTGATTCTTTATATAATTGATGGTATGATTATTATGTGCATTATTTTTAGAAGTTATTCATTAAGCCTTTGTAGCTTACCC